ACTGATGCCTTATTATCATCTGTATTCATTAGGTTCAGAAACTAGCCATTCATACCAATATCCCATAGAATGAAACATCGCAAAGATAAATGCTGGGAACACTCAGCGCGTGGCATCTGGTAATTAGCATTTTAGGTTAATGACCTATCATCCACATACAATGCAACTTTAGGTTTCTAGCTACTGGTCTTCACGGAGAACTTAATTTATCAACAACCACAACAAGATGGTAGATTGGCATTTTGCTTTGTATAAAGAGGAAGGGAACAAAACTATTTCTGAGGGATAACAGTATCAGAGAGACAAGCAAGAATACAATAATCTCCTTTTGCAAAATCTGAGGGCATGGAAAATTCAAATCAGAATCTTTCACTTTAAGTGAGAATATTACAATTTTAAAGTAGCCCTACCTGGTTTCCTTTATAATCATATATACAACTGTTTAATGCAGCTGAATTATTGTTGAGAAATCGATTCTGTTTCTGTATCCAAAGATGTTTTAAAGATTAATGTTGATTTCTCATGAAAGACTGCAATGCCTTTTGAAGATATTTGTTTGTAACAAGAGGGCACTCTGTGGGTTTGCTTTGATAATTTCAGAATGCAGACTCTTTGATTTAAACCGCAGAAGTGCAGCGTACATAAAGTTTCATTGATAGATGGATTTTAGGAAATTAAGGCACAGTGCACAATGAAAATTAAAACTATTTTGTTACATTTGATATATATGTGTAATTGAGCTACACCTGACTATTTTATTCGGTAAGATTGTTATCAATAGTTACTGGGGTGCTGGTTTCCAATTGCATTCTGCTGGATGTGAAAAGGCTGCTTTGCATGTTTAGCATGTAAAACAACATCTTTCCTGCTTTTATTTTCAGCTTGCAATTGAAAGCTTTGAAACTTTGGATACCCCATTCAGGAACAGTAGGTAGTTTTGATTTTGTGTGTTATTGTAAACATGGGCAATATCAAAGAGCTACCCAGTATACATCTGTCCCAAAATGAAAATCAGGAGAGATGTATAAAAATGAGTTTGATATTGTCCATTTTATTCAATTGTCTGAGGCAATATTACTCCCCAGAGAACATATTGGACAGAAAATTTAAATGGAATTTGGACATGAAAGATACATTCTGAAAGAACTCTGTAGCAAATAGCTATTGGATGGTTTTGCAAAGGGAGAGTGATTTCCAGTGATGTTCCACAAAACTCACTTTTAGGTTCTTCAGTGTTTGTGAAATATGTTCGTGTTTAGACTAAAACATAGGATGTATGATTGACGAATTTGCAGATGAATCCAGAATTATATCAATGGTTTGGTTGAGTGGACAGTAAAGTCATAGGTGGAATTCAATCTGAAGTAATATGAGGAACAACGTTTGACAAAAGTATACACAGTCGGAAGGGAGATATTAAAAGGAGTAGAGAAAAAGAGAGAGCTTAGATTGCAAGTCCTTGAAGTGCAAGAATATAGAAACAGAAATAGGCCATTCAGCCTCTTGAGCCTATTCCACCATTCAATAAGATCGTGGCTGATCTGTGGCCTAACTCCATATACCTGCTTTTGGTCCATATCATTTAACACCTTTGCTTAACAGAAATTTATCTGCCTTAGATTTAAAATTAACAACCGACACAGTATCCACTGTCTTTTGTGGAAGAGAATGCCAAACTTCTATTGCCCTTTGTGTGTATAAGTGCTTCCTAACATCTCTCCTAAATGGTCCGGCCCCAATGTTTAGACTATGCCCCCTAGTTCTAGAATCTCCAACCAGTGGAAATAGTTTTTTATCTACCCTGTTTTTTTCCTGTTAACACCTTGTAGACTTCAACCAGATCAATGCTTAAGCCTCAAAATTCGAGAGAAAACAGGGCTAATGCGTACATTCTCTCCTCATAATCAGAGAAGAACAGGCATCATTTTTGTAAATCTATAGGTATTTCTCCTATAACACAATAGTTGCTTTCTTGTGTGACCTCACACAATAGAAAATCGTGCTATAGAAAATCGCCATAGAAAATCGCATTATAGGGAGATCGCTATAGAAAATCGTTATACCTGTACAGCAGAAAGTTTGCGTCATCCAAACAACATCCACTGTTCATCAATCATGTTACAGCTAATTTGCATTAACGAAACACATGTTATAGCAGAACTACCTGTATGTTTTACTCCCTTTCAAGGCCAGTATATCCTTCCTGTGGTGTGGTGGCCAGATCAGCTCACAGTATTCCAAGTGGGGTCTAACTAGGGTTTCGTAAAACTGCAGTGTATCTTCTGCATTGCTATACTCCAGTCCTCTAGATATAAAGGCCAGCATTCTATTAGCCTTCTTGATTATTTTCTGCACCTGTTCATGGCATTTTAAAGGTGTATTCACCTGAATCCGCAGTTCTCTTTGTACATCTAATGAATTTAACTTTATGTCATCTAGAAAATACCTTGATCGATCCTTTTTTCAGTCCAAAATGGATAGCCTCACACTTGCTTACGTTGAACTCTTCCTGACACAGTTTTGTCTATTCACCTAGTCTATTAATATCTCTTTATAATTTTATGCTTTCATCCATGCTGTTTGCAATGCCACCTAATGTTGTGTCATCAGCAAATTTGGATTTATGATTTTCTATGCCATTATCCAGCTGACAATAAACAATGTGAATAATTGAGGCCCTGGCACAGATCCTTGTGGGACACCACTTCCTGTCAATTTGAGTACCTATCCATTATTCCTACTTTCTATCACCTGCCAATCAACCAATTTCCCAGCCATGTCAGCAACCTGCCCTCAATTCCATGGGCTTCTACCTTAGTTAACATTCTCTTCCAAGGGGACTTTATCAAATTACTCTGTCGACTACCTTAATCACCTCTTCAAAAATTTCAGTAAGGTTTGTCAGGCATGATCTGTCTGTCATGAGTCCGTGCTGGCTTTTCCTGATTCACTGAAAACTTTTGAGACATTCGTATGCCCTATCCATTGATTATAAACTCCAACAATGTTCTTACCACAGATGTTGGGACTGGTAGATAAGATGTTAAAGGAAGAATATGTAATGTTTTCCCATATTGGATGAGGTATATAATGCGAAAGGAGTGATGTAATTTTGAAACTGTATGAAATATTGGTTAGGCCACAGCTAGAATTTTGTTTACAGCTCCAACCATGTCATTCCCACATGGGAAGGACATAATTGCATTGATGTGAGTTCAGAGATTTACAAGAATATTGCCAGGACTTGAAAATTACTGCACTGAAGCAAGATGGGATGAAGGGAATGGGGTGGGATGTCAGGGTGCAGGGGAGTGCAGGAAGGGGAAAGGAGAGTGTTGGTGCAGGTGACCCTGGACATTGGGTGTAGAGACGAGCTGGATGCAAGGCTTTCTACTGGGATTCAGATCATGTCCAAAGTATAAAAATAAAGAATAGAATAGAAACACCCTTTCATCCCTCATCCTTTTACGCATTCCCTATGCCCCATCGATGTCATGTTACCTACCCAGCTCCCATGGTCTATCCTGGATGATAGGTATATCATCCAAATGATGAGGTATATCTGCAAAACAATCAATATAACCCTCCTGCCACGTGCCAAAAAAATCTCAATGATCCCTCATGTGTTCATGCAGACTATAACTTCTCTTCAAGCGAGCATATGAAATAGGTGCAACAGTAGGCCATACTGCCCCTCAAAGCCTACCTCCAGTAACCTATCACCCTCTTGCACATCAAAAATCTATCTACTACTGTCTTAAATACATTCAAAGACTTTGCTTCCACTTCTTACACACACACACGCACACATACACGCACGCACACAGGAAAGAAATGGGTGTTATGTATGGAGAAAAACTGGAAAAGCTCTTCACAAGATCTGCTGAGATGGTTTTAATTCTGATCAGAGCATTGTTTCTCAGTCTTCCTTCTCCAGTTGCTTTCAGTCGTTTGCAAGAGGCTCAGGGTAGCCCAGTCACACTTGTAAAAATGGTTTCTGACATGTTAATTCAAAATCATAGATTACAGCCACTGTTGAAGGAAAAATAAATTGGTTTTCTTGAGGCTTAACATGGCTTTTACTGCAGAGAGCATCAGAGCTCCTGAGTTGGAGGAGGTTTGAAGGCTTCTCTCTATCTTGTTCACAGTACCAAGCTATTCAGCTACCTGAGAACTAATCATATAGATGTTGGCAGGCTGAAGGCCTTTCTCATCAGTAATTAATCACTAGTCCAACAACTAAACAGCTACTTGTTGCCGGCTGAACCTCTATCAATACGTGCTCCTTGGCACCAACTCATCTGAAAACTAAACTGTAACCATTGCATGAACAAACAACTATATAAGCAGTGTTCACAATGTATGTCAGGTTATTTGCTTTTAAAACCTTCAGTAATCCTTGATCCTTAAAGCATTCCTTTTCCCATTTTTATCCACAATTAAAAACATAGAAAATTTAAAAAATGACAGTCGTTGGGAAATCAAGGGTGAATCATTGATAGCAGAATTCCTAGCCTCTGACATACTCTTGTAGCTACAGTGTTTGTCTCCTAATCCAGTTCAATCTCCAGTTAATGGTAACCTCCAGGACGTTGATTCAGCAACAGTAATACTATTCAGTGCCAAGGGGCAATAATTATATTCCTCTTGTTGGAGTTGGAAAAATGTTTTCACTCAGAGGGTGGTAGGTGTCTTGCACTCTGGTAGTAGAGGCAAAAACCCTCAACTCATTCAAAAGGTGCCTGGGTATGCAGTTTAAGTGGTTTAACCTACAAGGTTACAAAACAAATGGAGGAATGTGAGATTCAGCTGGCTTACTCATATTTTACCTTGAAAGATATAACTAGCCAAGTGGTTCTGTGCTGCAAACTTTCTATGATTCTATACAATTCACACAATTTACTCAGATCTTGTCAATGTTTTATACAAGCACATTATTTTCCCTTTGCCCACGTTCATAGGCTCATAGTGACTCATGTTGTCATGTTTGTACATTCCAGATCTAAATACATCTAGATGCAGTACACACATCTTTGGGATCTGTGAGACACCAACAAAAGCAGCAACACCAGCTAATTTGATGTTTTCCAGCCCGGAGACATTAAGTAAATCTGTAATGTAATTGACAATGCTTCACCCTTGCTGAGATGAACATAGAGCAATGATTGAAATGGTTATAAAACAGCATGGCTGAAAACGACATCATAATGTTGTGGGATAATTCACAACGCGAAGACTAAGGAGTGGGGTTTCCTGAATCTATCCATGAAATAATTCATTGTATATCACTTGAATGATGCATTTATACTCCAGGCATTGCACAAGCTTGATTCTGATAGATATCTTTGTGTTACTTCATCATTTGTGAAGTCTGTGTGTTCACAAGTTTTTAATTTGAAAATGGAAAATCAAATGTTAAATTAAAGTATCTCGTAACAAAGTGAAGATCAAAAGATTGTGACTTAATTACATCACAATACTGAGTGCAGTTGATGGAGATACTTGTAAATGAATGATCTCTGTGCTAAAGAAAGGAAGATATGTAACTTATTTTCATACAAAATAATGACAATACTTGTTAATGGAGATTTAAATGTTGGGTTTTTTTTGTTATTCTTTCATGAGACATGGGCATTAGTGACAAGACCAACATTTGTTGCCCATCTCTAATTTACTCTTGAATTGACAGGCTTGCTAAGTCATTTTCAGAGGGCAATTCCGGGTCAAACGTTGCTGTGGATCTGAAGTCACAGGTAGACCAGACTAAATCGGGATGGCAAGTTTTTTTCCTTAAAGGACATTAGTGAACCAGAAAGATTTTTAGGACAATCGATTCTTGTTTCATGATCACCATCACTGAAACATGCTTTCAACTGCAGGTTTATTAATCAAATTTAAATTCTACTAACTCCTGTCGTGGGGTTTGAACCCAATTCCCCAGAGCATTAACCTGGGTTTATGAATTATCTGTCCAGTGAACACTACAATACCACCTCTCCTTTAACTGCAAAAAATTCTTTAAGCTGGAGGAGAGGAATAGAACTTCTTCAAGGTGGGTTAACAGAAATTGCTGGAAAAGATCAGCAGGTCTAGCAGCATCTGTGGAGAGAAATCAAAGTTAATGTTTCGGGTCAAGTGACCCTTCCTCAGCACTGTTTTTGTTTATAAAATTCTTTATCTTTAAGAGTTTGAGCACAATTTTTCTTTTATAAATGTGAAGTGTAGTGGAGTTGAAATAAGACTTAGAATAGCTTTATGTCAGTGCAACTCAATGAGACAAAGTGTCTCTTCTGTTTTGTATGATTCAATATTTCATCTGCAGCTGTAGTTTTTATGTACCATGTTTGTTAGGTGTGAAGGAGGCAAATGTGCAGGTCTACCTTCTGGGTATGACCCTTTTGTGTTTTGATTTGGATATGTGTCTTTTACATGTAGACAGATCTTTATTATGACCAAACTGATTTGATAAATTCACCATGCAACAAACGCAATGTATCAACAGTGAGAGAAAATATGAACCGTTACATGTGACAGTTCTCCCTTGAAGTGTTATGTTGATAGGAAAGCAATTGTTTCAAAGTTAGCACTGTGACATCAAAGATTTCATTTAGACCCTGGGGCTGTAACACTTCTTTAGTTCATTCAGTTAAACATTATGTCCAGGTGAGTGAGAGAGAAACCAATCAATGTAACAACACCTAGGTTGAAATTTTGTTGTGATGACTCAGTGGATGAATCAAATAAGGATGATCAAAATGTAAGGGCATAAGGAATGGAAGCTGGAGACATTTTAACCTTTCGATATAATCAGGTTTGATCCTCAACCTTAACTCCACTGTCCCATATGAGCTTCATATCCCTTAATTCCCTTAATATACAAACCAATTTTCAACTTAAGTGTATTCAATGACTGAGTATCTTTGGGGTTGAAAATTCCAGAGATCCATAACTCTTTCAGAAATAATCCTTTCCTCACATCAATCTGAGCATGTATACACAGTTTTTGTGGGAGGTCAGAACACTGAGAAGTGATTTTATGAAAACACATTAGATTCTGAGGTAGATGCTGAGATGTTTTCCCCTTGTGTGAGAATCTAGAACCAGGAGCATAATTTAAATAAGGGGAATTCCAGTTAAGTGGAGATGAGGAGGAATTTCTTCTCTCGGAGAGAGGGTGATTACTTTTTGGAATTGTCTTCTACAGAAAGAATGTATTCAGGGCTGAGTTAAAGAGATTGATGATCGATAACAAGTCAAGGGTTATAGACACCAAGCAGAAATGTTGAGTTAAGACCACAATCTGATTAGTCATTATTGTACTGAAAGACAGAGCAGGCTCTATGGGCCTAATTGTATATTCCTGCTTCTATTTCTAGTGATCTTATGACCTAAATGACTAATACCCTTATTCTGAAGCTATGATCTCTTATTTAGACTCCCAATGAACACATGCTTCCAACAGCTATTCTGTTAAGCCCTTTAGGAATTCATATTTTTCAATTAGATCATCTATCTTTTTAAATGTAAATATAAACACAGTCTACTTAGTGTCCACAATCTCTCCTCACAGGACCTCATGGCAAGACTTAAGCTAATCATTACAACTGTCTCTTCAGTTTAAAATGAGATGTGTAATGGTGAGAGTCATGTGATTTCCAACTAGTTATGTCTGAGAACAAGCCTGTATGATCTTGTTGCCATGGTGTTCAGATGAAGTCAAATTGCAACCCAAGCTGGACAAAGAAAGGAATAGCTGCTTTGCTTTTGGCAGATTTGGTAATCTGGTAAGGCAGTCAAATCTGGAGGTTCTGGGCACAGAGAGAGAAGAACAGCAGGAGTAAAAGGTGTTCTCTGTAAGCTACCAGACTGAATTTACATGGGAGCTCACTGTCTGGTTGAAGTGGAAGAACCATTTAAAACCTAAGGACACTTGAAGATTCACCTTGATGTAGCTGGGGTAAGGAAACACTCAAGTGTATCTTTCTGCTGGAAATTTGTTTGGAGATTCAGGGAAGCCTGAGGAAAATGACTTGGGATAAGCACTGGATATTATGACAAAGAAATGGGGAGAAACAGGCGTGATAGAGGCTGGGAATAATCTTGGACTGGTTCCTGCAATGGCTTCACTTGTGCAGTGAGCCTGTGATTGATGATGAAGACAGAAAGATTGTCTCCTTGATCTGCTGCTTGAAGGCTCACTCCAGCCAGCTGAATATTCCCCCAGCATCATCTGTAGACCGACTCAGCCCATGATTAGCCATTAAGCAGCTCAATTGGCAATTCAGCCTTAGGGGAAGTAGTCAGGGATAAGCTGGAACCAAAGAATCAGCATGTCAGCTGTCAGCACTCTCTTTTAAATTTATACCTGCCTCCATGCCTGATACCGGTGGGACCAAAAAATCCAATTCATCATTTGCATCCTAATTGCTTGTTATACATACCAGTTAACTTGTTGTGATTCATGCTGCAGTTCACTTGGCTGTCTCTAAATACCAGTTTCCGTTTTCCCAAGGAATTTAATAATTTAATTTCAGTGATAACATTTTGTTAGCTTACATACTGTGATTTAATTTGCAAGGTACATACATTTCAATTGAGTTTTCTTGATACTTTTCATCAGATTGTTAACAAAAGCAACAGCCTCAGTTTGATTCAAATGCTTGTTATTTCACTCTTTCTAAAACTGAAAAGCAGTTGTTGCACTTCAATGGAGTGCAGTCTGACTCACTCCTGTAATTTCAGCACAGGGAATGGCATGACCTTGACAATTGTGGGTCTGTTTCCCCAACAACTCAGGATTGATGGCTTCACAATATCATTCAACTCTGGTGTTCAACAAGGACAACAAGTCTGGATTTCACAAGTTTCAAAATCTCCCCTCCCCCTACCGCATCCCAAAACCAGTCCAGCTCGTCCCTGCCTCCCTAACCTGTTCTTCCTCCCACCTCAAGCCGCAACTCCATCTCCTACCGACCAACCTCATCGCGCCCCCTTGACCTGTCCGTCCTCCCTGGACTGACCGTTCCCCTCCCTAACTCCCCACCTACACTCACTTTTACTGGCCCCATCCCCGCCTCTTCGACCTGTTTGTTTCCTCTCCTCTATCCATCTTCTATCCGCCTCCCACTCTCTCCCTATTTATTTCAGAGCCCCCTTCCCCTCCCCCTTTTCTGATGAAGGGTCTAGGCCCGAAATGTCAGCCTCTCTGCTCCTATGATGCTGCTTGGCCTGCTGTGTTCATCCAGCCCTGCACCTTGTTGTCTCGGATTCTCCAGCATCTGCAGTTCCTACTATCTCTGACATATTGAGTTATTGCTCCTGACTGGGAGGAGTGTGTGGCAAGTCAGCATTGCTTGTGAAGTGGACCTGTGTGAAAAGAACAGCAGCAGTTGAAGTTTAATAAAAACGGGAGCTGACTGCCCCTTTAACATGTTTCTCCCTCTCGGAGCTGAAGTATGGCACCATAGGAAGTCGGGTTAATGCTTGTGATTATTCCTGCTGTATCTCTTTTGATTGGCCGAGTGGTTTAAAGCAGAAGATGTTATTACAGCTGAACAGTACAGTTATGAAATTCACTTTTAAAATATACAACGTTCAAGTTAATTAATTAATTAGGATAGAACTAGCTGTTAGGTAATATATTGCAACTGCAGTGTGTGGAAGCGAATGGGTGTAAGTATGATCCACAGTGAGTATATTTGCAGCAAGCACAGAGAAACCTAAGCCCAAGTTAATGCCCTGGAGTGTGACCTGTAGACACTGCAACACATTATGGAGTTCTTGTATCCGAATCCTCTTGCGTTTATTCCTACTCTTTGTTTTCTATCTGCCAACCAGTTCTCCAATCATGTCAATACACATTTGCCAGTTGCACCCACTTTACTTTTACATGCTCATCTCTATGGGGGACCTAATTTGAAAGCCTCCCATCACATTTGGCCCATTTTGAGACCTGGTAGGTGTGACTCTAAGTAAGGCAAGTATTGTGATCCAGAATTTTACTTTTAGAGGGACCTTAGCCAGTGCTGTTGTCCAATAAGTATAAGAACATAAGAATCTGGAGCAAGAGCAGGCCATCTGCCCCTATGAGCCCGCTTTGCCATTCAATAAGATCATGGCTGATCCTTTCATAGCCTCAGCTCCACTTACCTACCCTCTCACTATAACATTTACTTCCTTTACTGTTCAAAAAATATCTATCTCAGCTTTAAAAATGTTCAATGAGGAAGCCTCAACTACTTCACTGGGCAGTGAATTCCACCAATTCACAACCCTTTTGGGTGAAACATTTCCTGCTCAATTCAGTCCTAAAGCTGCTCCCTTTAATTTTGAATCCATGTCCTCTTGTTGTAGTTTCACCTGCCAGCGGAAACAACCTCCCTGCTTCTATCTTGTCTATAATTTTATATGTTTCTATAAGATTCCCCCCCTTCATTCTTC